TGATGGTTGTGAGTTGCTTACCGACTACAAAGGAGGAGGAGTCGAATGTGGTGACTGTCAGGCATGTGCCGTTGACTGCTATGCTGTCACCCAACTGCACACACAGAACATATACACACAGAAACACGCACAGATACACACGTGTATTTACACACATATGCGCCACACCCTCTCATCCCCCACGCCCCTTACACCATACACGAGGATAATACAGACGCAAGCACATGCAGCAATCGTGCCCATTGAACGCACAGGCGCAATGCACCAGGATAGGAGAGGACTTGCATTAGATCCCTCTCCTCTCCCCCTCTCTTCTCCCCATATTCCCTACCATCTTCTGCTTTTCCTCAACCCCATCCCTCCTTCCCCTCTCCTGTGTCCCCCCACCTCCCCACCTCCTTCCACACACCCTCTCACGACCTCCCCTTTTCCCCTCCTTCAGTGATTTCCCCTCTCCCCCTCTTCCCCTCTTCCCCCTCTTTCCCCTCTCCCCCTCTTCCCCCTTTCCCTCCCTTACCCCTCTCCCCCTCTTCTCCCTTCCCCCTCACCCCCTCTCCCTCCCTTCCTCCTCTTCCCCCTCACCCCCTCTTCCCCCTCTTCCCCCTCTTCCCTCCTTTCCCCCTCTTCCCCCTCACCCCCTCTCTCCCCCTCTCCCCCCCACCGCGCACATGCACGTCAGTGAGCACGGTGGAGGCCTCAACGGTCATCTGCCACCCGCCGTCCTCGCCCTGCTGCACCTGCCGCACCGTCCCCATCTCCTCCACGATGCCTGCACGCACACGCACGCAGAGGAACGCACACACAGGCACGTACGCAAAGACACGCGCGCACACACAGCCACGCTCATGGGGGTTGGTTAGATTTCTTCCGTCAGCAGCAAGCAGCTTGTGCACGGAGATGATGGGAAAACGAGTGGCCTCCATACAGCTGAGAGGTTTCGCACCTTGTAACTCTTGCCTTGGCCCCACAGCACCGCTTGTGCACTGCGGCCTGAACCCTGGACCCCCAAACCCGAGCCAACCCTGAGCCAACCCCAAGTCAATCCCAAGCTAACCCCAAGCCAATCCAAAGCCAATCCCGGAATCATGACTGGAATCACGACCATTGCCAAACCTGACCATTGCCAAACCTGACCATTGCCAAACCTGATCATTACCAAACCTGATCATTACCAAACCTGATCATCACCAAACCTGATCATCACCAAACCTGATCATTGCCAAACCTGATCATCACCAAACCTGATCATCACCAAACCTGATCATTACCAAACCTGATCATTGCCAACTCTGAGGCTTGCGCTTTCTAATCCCAAGCTCCTGCCTTGCCTGTGAAAAGCGCAACCACGTTGTTCGATGCCGGACCGCGCGTTGCGCGCGACGCTCCCGCGCGCTTCCACCGCCGCGCATCGCGCGCGAGGCGGCCTGCGGGAGGCTGACTGCTCAACCACGACAGGCGGCTGACGCCGCTTGTCGGCGCCGCGATCGCAGCTGTCGGCCTGTTGGAATCGTGCAAGGGATGGAAAGGACGCGGAAGCGAAAGGAGACGTTTCCAAGGAATCGAAAGGAGAACAGCGATGCGGATCACTGGGGGTGCGATATGGCGGGGGTGCGGTGTGGATCAGGGTGGAGTTAGGCACAAGAGTAGCATAACAGAACGCGATCGGCGCAGAACAATTAGCACCAGCAACTGCTACTTAAGCAAATTAATTGAACAATCAGGTAAGGAGAGATGCGCATGTTCCGTACAACGACCTTACGCCAGCCTTCACGGTTGTCGGAGAATAGCTAGAGCAGGGGGGTGCACTAGGTGATCCAGCGAGGCTGCGAAGCGAAATGCAGCTTTTGGAAGCGGTGGCAGCGATCGCCATGGCTGACAGACAGCGATAGGGAAGGAAAGGAAACTCGCGATTCGGTACGAGGATTCCTTCCAAGGTGTTGTTGCCGCAATGAGCTTTGAGTCTTGTGTACATCATACAGTAATGGGTTGGGGGGATCACGGGTTGCACGGTCGATGCGTGGTATTGTTTGCTGGTTTTTGTTTGAATTTGCACAAGCCAGCCTATAGTACATACTAATGCCGCATTTCAAACAAGCACCATACATATTTACGGTAGTATGACTTGTCTGCAGCACACAGACATGAACGGGCCGTGCTACTACCGTACCGTATCAGTCGCTACTTGCGCAGCTCTAGGGTGAGGTGTGGGAAGCCGTGAATCGCCTTGTGCCGATCAAAGAGAGCCTTGACCTCTGCATAATAATAATCCCGGATCGTGCAAAGGTCTTCGTACGACGGGTCTTCTGAGTCAATAGTGGGGATGAGAGAGCGCGGGTCGAAAGGGCGGCCCATGACCAGAGTCATGGGGCGGTCGCGGGGGAGAGGAAGGCAGCCGAACAAGCCGACCGGGCAGAAGGGGATCGGGAAGCCGAATCTCCGGTAGGTGAACCGCTGCAGATGGGAGCACATAGCGGTTGAGAGAGAGAGAGGTGAGCAGGGAGGGGGTTGGATATGGGGGTTTAGAAGCTGAGTTGCATTGCCTTCTATATCCTTGTGCATGTCTGTACATAGCTCGGATCTAATACACGGACCGCTTGGTGAGCAGGGAGGGGGATGTGGTGAGTTGAAAGCTGGGAGGAGAGAAATGGAGAGGGTGGAGGAGCATGCTCATGTGGGTTGACGGCTGCTGACACGAGAGCATGAAGGAGAGGGAGAATTGGCTGCGTGGTGGTATCAGCTGACCTGGTGGAGCCATGACAGTGGATGGGTGTGGGTGGGTGTGGGTGGGTGTGGGTGGGTGGGCAGAGAGAACAGGACCGTACCTGGAGGGAGGGCCAGTGGAAGAGGTTGTCAAAGGAGTGGGGCTCGCCAAAGCTGAGTGTGGGCACGAGCAGGGCGTTGCTCTGCACTGCGATGCGCACGAATCCGATCTTGCGCGCACACAGCGCGATGCACGACGACTGGTTGGTGGCGTGGTATGTTAGCTCCGACTGGTGGCAGAAGGGAAGTAATGAGAGTGGGCGGAGGAAGGAAGGGGGATGGAAGGTAAATGTAACAAGAAAAGGGTACCAGAGCGGATTGCGAGGAGAAAAAGCAACAGGAAGGGTAATTAGAGCAGTCGATTCAGGTGGGCGCAGGAAGGGGGAAAGTGCGGTGGTGGACATTCGGTGGCAAGAGAAGGTAGGGAAGGAAGCGGGGGAGGTGGGAAGCAAAGAGAGTGAGGAGGAAGGGAGGCTGTGGGCAGAGGGGGAGTGAGGGGGGCGGGAGAGGGGAAAGGGGGGGAGGGGAGAAGTAGAGTTTATCCCCCACCTGTCCGCCAGGGCAGAGCACAGCAGCGCCCGTGTCCTTGAGTGCTGTGAGGAAGCCCTGTCGTGACACCTCGCGCACCCCGCCCCATAGGCAGTAGGTGCGTGCGAGGGGGATGCGGAAGCACACGGAGGCGACGAGCGGCACGGGGCGCGTGGCGGGGAAGAGAGCGCGGAAGGCGGAGGAGAGCGGGAACCATGCCATCACTGCCGGCATCAACCCGTGCGGCTGGTGGGAGGGATGGTGGGAGGGGGTGGGTTGAAGTGAGTTGGGGTGGAGAGTGAAGGGAGTGGAGGAGAAGGGAATAAGGTGGGAAGGGGCCGACACGTTATGTAGCAGGGTTGGGGACGAGGCTTGCATGCTTGGGTCACTTTTGAGAACTCCCAAAATGGCAAGAGAGGGTAGGCTGGGGGTGGGAGTGCAGGGAGGGTGTGGTTGGATGGTGGATGCATGCGTGGGTGGGTGGCATGGCAGTGCATGGCATGACACGGCTTTGCATGGAAAAGGCTTACGTGGTAGGTAAATATGAGGGGGCGCGAAGGGGATGCAGCAGTGGTATCACCAGCCTTGCCCTCCACACACTCCTCTTCACTCCCTGATCGCTGCTCCTCCTCCTCCTTGCAACCCTCCTCCTCTTCTTGCTTATCGTGCTCCTCATGCTTCCATCTACTCCTCCCTGTGCGTTGTGCTGCCCTCCATGCGCCCTCCTTCACAATGCTGATCCCGTGGAAATATGCTGCTGCTGCCTCCTCCAATAGTGGCATCACTCTGGGAGAAGGAGGGAGAAGGGGGGGGGAGGGAGGGAGAAGGGAGGGGAGGGAAGGAGAGAAGGGGGGGAGGGAGGAAGAGTGGGGAGGAGGGAGGGAGAGGGGGGCAGAAGGAGCAAGAGGGAGAACGACGGAGAGAGAGGGGGGAAGAGGAGGTTCATTACTTGAGGAAAAAGGCAAAGAAAGAGGGAAAAAAACTTCAGAAAATGGAGTGCACTCCCCACTGCTTTCCTCTCCCAAGCTCACATGACAGCTGCACCACAGCAATGCACACAAAAGGCTCACACCTTACAGGTAGAACCAGCTTCAAAGGAGAACCCACTTTCCAAAAAGGCAAGCCCATTTCACGCAACCCCAATCCCCACCGGAGCTGCATCGTGGCACGACTCACATTCTCTGCACCCACTTGCGCTCTCCTCTCCCCGACCGCTCGTATCCCCCGGGGCAGATCACGCAGTACGCAAACGCCCATGCCATGGCTGTGAGCAGCGCTGCACTGGCCGTGCGCAGCCCACACACAACTGCGCTACTGCTCATCCCAGCGAATCCATAGCTGTACCCGTTGCTGTAACTGTCACAGCCACTGTAACTGTAACTGGGGTTGTAACTGCAGTTGCTGTGATCCTGTGGCTGCTGCTGTTGTTGCTGCTGCTGCTGGTGCTGCAGGGGTGAGAGGGTAGAAGGGTGAGGAGCAGGATAGGCGCGAGCAGGGCAGCAGCAACGCAATATTGCCAGCAGTAGAGGCCTGCCACTATGGTCGTGCTGCGAGCCTTCACTCCCACCCACCACAGCACCTCGCACACACTCAGTGACCACTCATTGCCCATGCTGCTAGTAGCTGAATCACACGTGCTGTTGCCGTCGCTGCTGCTGCCGCCCGTGCTGCTGCTGCTGGTGCTGCTTCTATTGACAATAGGATGTTGGTCATCCCTCCCCCCAACATCCTGCTCCACTGTCGTACCCATGCCATCGCTCGCCGCCACCCCTCCTACATTCCCCAGTAACACCCGCCCTTCCCCCTGCGCTTCCCCCCGCCTTTCGCCCCCTCCACGTACCACTGTAACGGTCTCCACCACTCCCATCATCACCCCTCTCACGGCGGCCCCTGCGACCTCCCTCGCGCTCCTCGTCGCCATGAACAGCTCTCTCTCCGTCCACTGCGCCGGCCGCACCGCCACTGCGCGCCACGCCACGCCCCCCACCCTCCCCTGCACGCTGCCGCCCCCCCTGCACGCCCTCTCCGTCACGGGCAGCGCAACACCAGCTGATTCCGCCGCCGCTTCTGCTTCTGCTTCTGCTTCTTCTGCCGCCGCCGCTGCCGCTGCGGCACGAGCAGGAAGAGGAGGAGGAGGAGGTGACAGTAGCAGCGGCGGAAGGGCAGCAGTGGCTTTGCTGCTGCTGACGGCACTGCTGCTGCTGCTGCTCTCATCCACAGCGGCAGCAGCAGCGGCAGCAGTAGCAGTAGCAGTATCGGTAGCGGTAGCGCGCGCAGAAGCAGCGGAGGCGTGACGACTGGGGCATTCGAAGGTGAGGAGCGAGGCCATGAGCAGGAACTCGGAGGCGAGCCCCGTGGCGCCCGCGGACGCCAGCAGCCCGTAGCCCAGCGTCGTGTGCCCCACGAACGCCGCCACCACCGCCACGGACGAGAAGATGAGCAGCGAGAAGGAGAATAGCGTCCATGCCATGGCCTGAAGGGGGGGGACGCGCGGGCGAGGGGGGAGAGATGAAGATGGGCGGAGCGGGGTTTGACATGCGCAGGCGAGAAGATGAGCAGCGAGAAGGAGAAGAGCGTCCACGCCATGGCCTGGGAGGGGGGGCGGGAGAGGGGCGTGGGAGGGGCGCGGTGGAGGGGGGAACGAAGATGGAAGCGGGGTTCGAAATTGCGCGGAGCGAGAAGGTGCGCAACCACGGCATGGCCTGGGGCGACGGGGACGCGGAGGGAGGGGGGGGAAGGAGGTACGGAGGGGGAGGAGGGCGGCGCAACGGAGGGGGGGGAGATGATGGGAGCGGAGTTTGGAATGGCGCAGGCCCAAACCACATCCAGGGCACTGGGAGCACTATTAGGGCGCCATAGACGCGTTTCGTATGAGCATCGCACGCACAATGACAGCCGTCGTCGACCCGACTCACGTGGACAAGCACTCGCACCGGCGTACCCGGCGCGCGTACAGGCCTCGCACCGAATTTCGTACAGCCTTCGCACAAATTCGTAGAGCCTTCGTACAGCTTCTTACAAGAGTTTCAAGCGAGCAACTACTCGCCTGCATGAGCACGAAGCGCAGCCCGCCCACGAACGGCTGCCAGAACATCCACGCCAGGTGGCGGTACCTCATTCGCCCGCCCAGCCCGTGCGTGAGCAGCGCGGCGCAGCACAGCCCCGATGCGCTGAGCAGCGCCGCCATGGCCACGACGAAGTTGAAATTCACCACGCCGTGGAAACTCGCCGCGGCGCCTCCTATTCCCATGCCGCCCGAGGAAATCCCGTCGCTAACAAAAAAACCGTCGTCGACGGGCCTATCAAGTTCGCCGTTGGAGAACAGCTTGAGGAGCGACACGGGAGTGGAAACTGCCCGCGACGCCGGGGAAGTCGTAGCGGAAATGACGGAAGGGTCGTTTAGGGAGTTAAGACCGAGATAGCCGCCTCCTAAGGCGAAGAGAAATAGACCGGGACGCAGGGAGGTGGTGGAAAGAGAGGCGAGCCACGCGGAGAGGTACGGGCCCCACTGGGGCATTGTATCGAGGGCGGTTGCGAGGGCGGATGAACCCGCCGCTATAACGAGATTCGCCGCCATAAGCGCGGCGAAGCGGCACTCTCCCGAGGCGCGCTGGCGCGCGCTGCGGCGCTTCGACTGGGCGGCATCCGCGAGGGGGTCTTTGCAGCGGCGGGGAGCGAAGAAAAGCGCGAGGCTGGTGAGGCCGGGGGGGAAGGAAGGTGTGCTTGCGGGGATGCTTGCGCGGGAGGAGGGTGTGGATGTCGAGGTTTTGTTAATTCGACGGGCCGCTTGGCGGCCTCTCCTCTGTGTCATCGTGCTCGATTGCTTAGGACTGGGCTGCTTGGGAGGGCTCGGCACGGCAGTGAATTGGCTGGGATGAACTGTGAATTTGAGACGCTCACGCGATAAAAGGGATCGAACCGTGCAAGCTCGTGATAGCGTGTCGGCTGCTTGAGCTAAGAAGAGCCGGTTGGTAGTCGTCTCTTGGCTCAAGGTTTGCCCGCGGCCGAGTGAGGGGAAAACGAGGACCGAACGAGTCGACTACAAAACGGTTGAGGAGAAAAAGTCAGCTCGATATCTGTCCTTCCCTGTTCTACAGAATCACGGCTCGAATAACAAAGCAGATGCGGAAACCCATCGGACGGGGGTCTCAATTCCTTTTGTTACTCTCTGTGACTGCTGCAGGATCTCAATTCTCGAATGGAGTTGGCGCCAGATGAAAGAGAATCGTGTGGTGGTGGGTGTCGGGTGGTGTTGCGGAAACGGAGGAATTTACGGAAGGGAGCAAAAGGAATAATGACGAGGAGGGGCGGACGAAGAGGGTGATTCCTCTTCGTGGCTGGTTGGGTGGCGGCGGGCAGTCTGCCCAGGGTATGCCCATTTGCAGCACACAAACTCCGTCGATATTTCGTTTCCCGTTTTCCGTATTTCCGTCGGGATGCCCAGGTTCTGGGAAGGTTGTTGCTACCTCTCGTAAGCGAGCATGCCTTTCTTCCGTCCTTTGGCAGGCTCTTTGCCCAGTCCCCCACCTCGCAGCGACGACGAAAGGGTGACTTTCAAAAACTAATTTACAGCTCCCGAGTCTGCCAATGGACGCCTTGTGACGCGTTCAATTGGAATTTCCAATGCGAGAAGCAGCTGCTGTTTCGCAATAATATGTTGTTGACGGCACCAAGAAAGACGAAAAATAGACCCGACACAACCCAGTCACGAGGGGAATTGGCGGGCAAGGATGGAATGAGGTACAGGACGAATGAAACCTCTGATTTTGAAGTGCATCCCGCGAGCAGAAACTTGTTTTACAGCTTGTGCCATCACCCTCGATCAATGAACACAACGAAAGCGTCGCGGGCCACAAGGAACATCCACGGTGGTGAAGGCGTTACTTGGACTGCATTTCGCAGATTCTCTCCTCAAACTAGCTCGTGTGACGTCACCTACGCTCACCAACCAGATCAGCAGTGGCAAACAGGAATACGCCATCACGCCATGCACAACCGCATCCAACTCAGTACAGCGAATTACTGAATAAATCACGAATTATATCACCTTCCAATAGCCACACTGTTTAATCCATTTCCAGATCATAGAAAAAATAACACCTACTGTCGTGCGATCACTTCACTATCATAATCCTAAGAGCACTAGCGTTCCCAATCTTCTGCACCACCACTGCCGTATCTCCCACGTTGCACAGCCCCCCGCTTACGCCCATGGCAATGGCAGAAGCCACAATGGCATCTGTGGCATCACTATCAGTCGCATGAGCGCCACCCTCAGCCATAACAGGGTGCAGCCCCCTGACCATTAGCGCATGCCTGGCAGCAGCTTCGGCACCGGAGCAGCACACGAGGCGCAGTGGATCGAGCGGGTGGGGGATGAGCTCCGGGACTATGACTGAGAGCACGGGCATGGGTGGCCGGTACTTGGCAATCAGTCTCGAAGTGGCTCCGGTGCGAGTGAGGACAACAATCACAGCAGCTCGAATCTGTTGTCAATGGGGAAAGAGCAAACAGGATTGGGAGGGGCGCAGAGGAGTTAAGCGAGTAGTACCGTACCCTGGAATATAACAAGGTACCAGTAAGTGCGGTGGTGGTGGTGGCTCACCATGTCAGCAGTCTTGACAGCGGAGGAAGCGAGGCTCTCAATGGGGCTCATGGGCATGGCAGTGGCGGCCATCATGTCCTTATACGACGCCGCAGGGTCCACACTCGCCTCCGCCTCGCGGCACAGGCGCACCATCACACATGCCGACTCCACCGGATACTGCCCCGCCGCCGTCTCCCCCGACAGCATCACCGCATCGGTCCCATCCAGGACAGCGTTCGCCACATCGGTGCATTCTGCGCGTGTGGGGCGCGGGAACTTGGTCATGGACTCGAGCATCTGGGTGGCGGTGACGACGGGTTTCCCGGCCTTGTTGCACTTGTGGATCATCATCTTCTGTGCGAGGAAGATCTTCTCAATGGGGATCTCCATGCCCAGGTCGCCTCGTGCTACCATGATGCCGTCTGACTCGTGCAGGATGTCGTCGAAATTCACCAGCCCCTCCTGGTTCTCCACCTGTTGGGGGTTCGGGAGAGACGCAGGCGCACAAGAGGAGAACAATTTTGGAAATGCAGTTTTGGGGTTGCTGTTGCATGTCACTGGAATCCTGGGAGAAGCAACTGCTCTGCTACTGGTGATCGTGGCGGATGCCAGTGATCTGATGACACCAGACGGAGCTTGAGGCCATCACAGAAGAACACACAATCCCAAACAGCCACCTCCAGACACAACCTCGAAACCCACCTTCAAACCCCCTTCCTCCCTCCCAACCCCCCCTCCTTCTTCCATCTTCCCTACATATCCCATCTCCCATATCCCGGATCCCACCTTGGAGATGATATGGATGCGCTTGCTGTTCTCCGGCCCCAGCAGCTTGCGAATCGCCACGACATCCGAGCCCTTGCGCACGAAGGAGGCGGCGATGAAGTCGACGCTGTGCGGCATGGCCCAGTGCAGGATGTCCTCCGCGTCCTTGGCGGTGACCGTCGGCAGGTCCACTACCACGGCCGGCAGGTTCACGTTCTTGCGCTCGCCCAGCACTGCCGTGTTCTCACACCGGCACCGCACCATGCTGGGAAGGGGAATGGGTGGGGGTAGGGAGGAGGGAGGAGGGAGGATGGAGGATGGAGGATGGAGGGAGGATGGAGATGGGAAGGATGTCGGACAGAAGGAAGCATGGGGACGACATTTGAAGGTGCGGGTTGGCTGAGCCAGTTAATTGCGCAGTCAGCCCGATCATGCATGCATGCAGAAACCAAACCCCCTTCTTAAAACCCAACCGAGAACCCCAAACCCCAAACCCCAAACCCCGAACCCGAAACCTCGGAAACCCCGTATACAAATCTGATATTTCCCTCCCCTGCGCCCCTCCCATTCAGCCCGCAACTCACCCTTTCGCCACGTCGCATGCGAGCACGGTGAGCGAGATGCTGCCATCGGCGCACAGGATCTGCCCGCCGGGGCGCACGTCCTTGGCCAGGCTCTTGTAGCTCATGGCGATGGTGGTGGCGTCGCCGAGGGTGGCGTAGTCCGTCGTTAGCGTCACCTCGCTGCCCTGCTGCAGCTGCACCGCCTTGCCGCCCTTGAGCTGCCCCGTGCGGATCTCGGGGCCCTGGCGGAGGGGGAGACGCGCGGGGGGCGGGGGAAGGGGGAAAGCGGGGGAGGATGGGGAGGAAGGGCGGAGAGGGTGGAGGAGAGTGGGATTGGGAGGGAGGGAGAGGGGGGGGGGGGGAGGGGGGGGCGCGGGGATTTGAAACGCTGAGATTGTGATTGACGGGCAGTATAGGGCATCCCCACTCCTCTAAAATGCTGCCTAGAGATTCCGCGAATTCGAGACTGAAATAGATCCTGCAAATCTCAAGTTCTGACGTGGCAATTACAGTCTTGAGAGGAATTCCCAACGCCGCATTCGAGTCGAGTCGAGGCTCGAGAGCCAACACGCACCTTGGTATCCAGCAGCGTGGCGCACAGAATTCCCGTGTTCGCCATGGCGGCGCGCAGGTTGTTGAGCGTCTCCAGATGATACTCGTGCGAGCCGTGGGAGAAATTGAACCGCGCCACGTTCATCCCCGATAAGAGCAGCTTCTCCAGAACCAGCACGCTGCGCGACGCGGGGCCCAGCGTGCAGATCATCTTGGTCTTGCAGTCGTTGCGCGGCCCGTAGTGATGGTGCTCCTCCGCGCAGTAGCTCTGAATCACGCCGTCATCCACCATAAAGCTATCCTCCAAACTGTTATCGAGGTCGCCGTGAACGGATCGGATCCGCGGGAGCATCCCGCCGCCGCCGCCGCCGCCGCCGCTGCCGCTGCCGTGATCCACGTCCATCAAGTGCGACGCGACGCCCCTCTCGCGCCCCATGCCCTTCCACACGTCGACCATCTTCGTCAGCCCCTCTCTCACGCGCCGCGACCATTTCTGCGCGTGAGCGCGCCGCCCCGCCTCCATCGACACGGCCGCGTCGCACATCTCCGCCCACTCCGCCGCGGCCGCGGCGGCAGATTCAACGCGGTCATCGTAATCGTCCAGATCGGTGCGGTCCGGCCAGAGGTCAGGGTCCGACTTGACGGTCCGATTCAGAGGGACCAAGGTGTGACACTCGACGACGCTGGTGCCATCCATCCGTCGGCGCTTCGCCAGGGAAGCTAACTCGCTTGGGGCGGGATGCTGGCCGCAGCCCTTCGTCGCATTGCCGCTCGTTGCATTGCCGTTTGTCGCGTGGCCGTTCGTTGATTGGTTCACGAAAGCGTTCGTGATCCCCGTCATGGTGAAAAAAAATGCGAGAGTGTGCGGATCGACGGCGGGATGAGGGATCCCCTTGGCGTAGGAAGAACGAGACACCAGACCGCGAACGATCTTGCACACACAGCACAAAGGTGGAGCGAGATTGCTGGATGCGAGAACGCAGCGCACAGGGATCAAATTAATCCGATAAGGTTAAAGAATTGACGGGTGAGTCTGTCGCTGTCGGATGAGGGATCACAGGTTTGAGAAGCCAGAAGAGACGAGAATGGTGATCATCGATCAGGTGGGTGGGTATGAACGGGATGCAAAAAGAGCAGGGGAAAATGGTTGGGAAGGAATGCAGCACACACCTCGTGACAGGTGCTTGATCGCTGCGCGATCCTGATCAGATTTGAAAATGCTTACAGAGGAGTTTAGTGGGGTGGATTGGGATCGAGTAAACTTTACAGCTGGTTGGGAGGTGTTGGAGTGGGATTGGGTGGGGTAGAAAGGGAATCTACGACTTTTGGAGGATTTGTTTGGATGTGCTGGGGCCGACGCGGCGCTGCCATGCATGCCGAAAACACGGAGAGCCAACCAAACCGAGCGATGATGTGTTCGCCATTCGTTTTTGCGGGAAACCCTGTGCTCAAAAGGATGTTTCTGTGCTTTTCTATTATTATGTGGGTCAATAAAGCCAAGCATTGCACTCAAAAGGATGTTTCTGTGCTTTTCTATTATTATGTGGGTCAATAAAGCCAAGCATTGCACATGTGGCAGTTTGTGACCGGTACGAGCGGACAGCGCGAAGGAAAACGGCGACATCCACATATGCGCCAGCTGCTACGGGGGTGGAAAGCTGGGGAACGAAAGGAGGTTCAGCAGAGCGGGTTTTTGCCAGGGTTTGTCAACCCGCTTCGGTTCGGGAGGGTTCATTGTTCTGGTCTGGTCTGGGGCTCCCTGCAGCCGACCAGCCAACTCCGCTACCCCCCACGCGAGCTGAGATCCACACCGCAGAAGCGAGCGTCCCATGCCAGATGGACATCCCCATTTCGGCGCAGTTTCATTTCCTGCCCCTTGGGGAACGCGGGACTGTGCATCAGCCGCGTCCTCTTTTGTCACAATTGTATTGGACCACTGGTGTCAGTATTCGTGTGAGAGCAGCTTGAGCCGAGAATGAAAGCTTCGATAAGCGCAGAACACATACACACTACTTCCAATCAAAGATGGTTTCAAGTAGTTTACATGTAACTACTTTGATGTGGACAGCATGTAGTTCATCCGCATAAGTAGGTCTTGTGCTGATAGTGCTCCCTCCTGCCGGAAAACAAGAAAATCGTAATGTGAATGCTTGATTGCTGATGACCCAACTTCAGGCTTAGAAGAGGCAGTTGTGATCTTACCACGCGATCAATAACTTGCCCTTTCCGGAAAAGCATCAAAGTAGGAAGGCCCTGGATATTATACCGCGATGCCAGCTTAGGGTACTTCTCTGTGTCAATCTTCACCTGCAGTTAAAAGACAGACAAACACCATGCCCTCAGAGCAGGTAGCAACTCCGTGTGACCTCCGTGTCACGACGGACGGGGCACAACGTACACACTGCCAGGGTTGCGACTAAGTTGACACATACAATTTTGACGGAATCGCCAACTTGAGCAGACACTTGTTCCAAAGTCTTCGCCACAATTTGGCAGGGACCACACCTAGGATACGGAGAATAACGAACGGGAAGGGGTAGGGTCGCTGTGTAAGTGTGATAAGTGTACGTTGTTGATCAAAGTGATGTATTCGCTCAATCGTCAAGTGTGTGAAGTTCCTGGCAGTATTGATTGAGCTCAAACCCCATACGCCGGTTAATACCATCTCATAGGTCTCACAATAGAAGGGAGTGACATACCATGTGGCATAGAAGTCAACCAGGACCACGTCCGCCGTTTGTATCATGTCATCGAACGAAGAGAACGTCTGCTTTCCCGCTGCCGAGACGACAAAGCGTCGCGATTGCTGAAAGTACAAGGGAATAGAAGCAATTCAACGGATTGACCGACAAATAACAAATTAAGGTTTGCCAGAACCATGGAGGACCAACTAGCAAGTACGAACAGCTCATGAAGCTGATGACATATAAAGCAAGCATACCGTCGTGGAATTATTCGGCCGAGGTCGAAGTGAAATTGCCGATTGAAGAAAAGAACAGCGCAACGGGGAGGTGGCGACGGAAAAACGACCAGACGGAACCAGCCTGATACCAGAACAGGAAACCGAAGGCACCGGAACGGAGCCCTTCTGAACTAATTGACAGCTTGGTGGGGCATAGACGGCTGACGCTGAAACTGCTGCCGATCCACAGTTAGCCGCCATAGTGATAGTAGCACTAAGAGTCAAAATTTACGCGTCAGTTGACTCCTGTCAGCTTCGTTCTGCCTGCAATGTCGTGAGGAAGAGTGGTCTTCGGAAAAAAAAATGCTGAGACGGGTGAATGAAATAGCAGTCGTCGACGGAAAAGCGCAGTATATGAAGATAAAAGGGTTTTCAGCTTAGCGGGGAGGGGTATCCCGACCCCTCCGCTTTCAGGTAAGGGGTAGCGCTCAGTGCGCACAGTTTCCGCTAAAGGCTGGGCTAGGGGGGGACAGTTATCGTTCAGGTTAGGGACTCGGAGCTCTAAATGAGCCACGTGGTACATCCACACACAGCTCGCTCACTGTACATCTACAGTCTCAGATGTGCACTGTGCGCGCTTGTATTTTCTACCGACCAATAGTAATGAGTTTTTCTGGATGCAGGCAGTGCAATAAATCAGCGGGCAAGAAAAACAATAAACCCCAGTCGGAAGGCATGCCATTTCGGGAGCATCAACCCTAACATTTTAGGGTTGAGTCTCCCAGATGGCATGCAGTAAGCCATGGGGTTTATTTTGTTTGCCCGCGGTCAGTACGCTTTTGCTCTGTGCCACAGCCTTCAGTTGGGGACTTTGACGGAGTTACTGTGCGTTTTCAGTGACCCTTGTACTGTATTGGCGCGAACAGTAGGGCCCACACAGGTTTCGGAACAGTGGGCTTTCGAGCCACCCGGAACGTGGGTTAGGTTCGGTAGAAAAGACAAGCAGGTGGTGCGCAGAGGATGCGATTGTAGATGTACAGTGAGTGAGATGTGTAGGATGTAACACGTGGCTCATTGAGAGCTCGAGTCCCTAACCTGAACGATAAGTCTCCCCCCCTAGCCCAGCCTTTTGCGGAAACCATGCGCAATCAGCAGTACCCCTGCCCTGAAAGCGGAGGGGTCCAGGTACCTCTCCCCGCCAAGTTGAAAACCCAAGATAAAAGCCATCAGAGACTCTCGCTCTTCAGCACTCCAGTTGCCTTCCTAGCGGCATGGCATGAGATGGGGGGGCATCTGGTCAGCTGTGACATGACGATTGAGAGCAGAAGCATCCAGTCAGCAGGCATATCTGGCTGGATGTTATTGGTGGCCTTATGCTTTCTTGGGAAGTAAAGTGCTTGCCAGCGCGGCAAAGCACGCCGAGTTGGAGCTTTCCTGAATCCAGATTCCAGAAATACGATTTCGGTGGATGTAACACCCTTTGCCAAGTGTACATGATTAACGAACCGTGCAAAGTGTTGACGAAACATTGTGTTTGCTCTCGTCTGGGTCATATACACCTCATGCGAGTTGCGCTAACGTCGTCCATGCGGTCATTGGTCTTTTCGTCAATACGAGTGTGTTACCCATCAGCCCAGAGATTCGGATCTTTCGCAAGTAACTGGTTGTGTGATCAAATCCCGCTTCTCCCCGCCACATCCGACACATCCGCCCACCACCCCCTCACGCCTCTATCCCCCCCCTGCGCCCTCCCCTCTTCCCACCCATCACCCCACAACACACACCAGCATTCCGCCACATCCCGCCAAACCCTCCCAACGGCCTCGTTGTAACGCACATGACCAAACCCTGTCGCTTTGAGCCCAAATCCTTCGTCACATGGCATCCTTAGCAGTTGCGACTTTCGCCTTCCCTCGCTTGTCGCCGACTAACACTGCTGTGCGAAAGACCAAAGTGCACTGCTGATCACTAGTTGTTCTTTCTGTCGTCGACTGCTGTAGTGAAGTCCGTCACATTCGCCTCATCTGCTGCTCGCCTCGCTTGCTCGTTTCTTCCTGACCGATTCCTGCTTTGTACTTATACTGAACCGCCTGCGCCTGGTTCACCCGCCACTCACCGTGAAATCCACGGCTTTCGTTTACATCTCACTTATCAGCTCTCACCAGAAGTCAGTCCTTGTTCGTAAATGTGCGAATCTTAGCTCTCACTTCGGGTTCTTAGCATCGCTCGCGTTGCGACGCTCCTCTCTCGCATCACAGTGCATCGTATGCGGTCATCAGGCCGTCATATAGTAACGTCGTCGCTCACCATTCTCTCTTACTGTCCCCATCGACAAACCTCCCGTGGGACCTCCCGATTTTCCTTCCCCTCGTCCGTCCTCGCCCAATTCCCCCACATGCCGCGTTTCTCGCAATCCACTCTCGTCTCAGCGCGTGGTACGTAGCGGTTATCGCGCGTCGCGAGCAGCAAATCCCACTTGAATCCCGCACACAGGCCTCGATATGGAAGCCGCCACAGTCACCGCCACCACCGCCACCGCCGCTACGAGCGCCGTTGCCAACCACCATTGCGCGTCGCGGAGCGGAGACGGTGCTTGCGCTGCGAGCGCGGAGCGGAGCCCGTCGGAGGGCCCCGCGCGAGGGGAATCTGGGAACTCGGAAGCGCCGGGGCGGGGAAACGAGGGCGAAGCAGGGGCAGGGGCGGTGGGGGCGGTAACGGCCGCAGGAGAGGTAGCGGGAGTGGGAGGGGGGGCGGAAGCGGAAGCGGAAGCGGAAGCGGCGGAGAATGATCCGATGCGTTCATTCGCGCACGCGAGCCACTCGGGAGTGGCGTCTCCCCCGTTCGACCCGTCCGACCTGCACATCTCGCCCACGCGCTTCCTCGGCGCCGTGAGTCGCGCGCGCACTTCCTCTCCCTCCCCCCCCAACCCCCAACCACCCCCCCTCCTCGACAGCAGCGCCGTGAGTCGCGCTCTGCCTTTCGCGCGATGTGTCAGCGCCGTGCGCTGCGCACGCGATGCCTTTTACACAACGCGGCCAGCGCTGCTACGCGCGCGCGCTGAGCAACAAGGCAGCGAGCTGAACACGATTTCTCTTTGCCCGAAGCGACGCGGCTTCGCTATAAGCTCTCCACCTGCCTCTGCCTCACATGCTGCTGCCTAAATGCGCCTACCCCGTTACTCCTCCCATCCCCCACGCCCCCGCTTCGGCCTCCCCCGTTTCCCCCTGTCTTCCGCCGTCCTTCCCCCGTCTGCCCCCGTTCCCTCGCGGGACTCCCACCGGGCAACCCCTGCATTCCATAGGCCCCTCTGTCTCCCCTGCGCCCACTCTCATGTGTACCTTCCGTGTCCCCCCTGCTCTCACGCCTTTTCCTTCCTCGCATGCCATGGTGTGGTGCCGTATGGGATAACATGGCATGGCATGTCATGACATTACATGGCCTTCTGTTCCATGGCATGGCATGGCTGATGGCATGGCATGGCATGGCATGGCATGGCATGGCATGGTGATGGCAGGGCACGTATGGCGAGGTGCGCATGGGGTCATGGCACGGGCAGGCCGTGGCAGTGAAGATCCTCAAGAACGCTGCTGACTCGCTGCTCTGGTCAGTGCAACATCTCACCTTCACCTGCTTCTGCCACTAACTCCCCGCACTCTCACTTCGCCTGCTCGCAGCACGAGTGCTGTGCTGTGCTGTGCTGTGCTGTGTTGCGTGGGAGGCAGGATGGCTGCTTTCAGTCGTCTCAAAAGTACGCTGTGCACCGTGCTGCTGCTGTGCTGCTGCTGTGCTGCTGGTGCTGTTGTGCTCCATGCAACACAACGCCATCACAGTGCTGCCCACAATGTCTGTCCGCCCCCGCCCCCTCCCGTCTCCTCCTCCCCGTCTCCCCTCCTCTCCGTCCGCCCCCTCTCCCCCCCCTCCCAGCGCCTTCTTCCTGCGCGAGGTGGCGTTGACGAGGCAGGTGCAGCACCCCAACGTTTGAGACGTCTCAAAGAATCCCTCCCTCCCCACCTCTCCCCCTCCCTCCCCCCAGCGCCTTCTTCCTGCGCGAGGTGGCGTTGACGCGGCGAGTGCATCACCCCAACGTGGTGCGCTTCCTGGGCGCCAAGACAGACGCCATGCCCTTCATGCTCGTCACCGAGATGCTGCCCATGGTGCGCTGTGAGAGGGGGGGGAAGGGGGTAAAGCAGGAGGGGAAAGGGAGAGGGGACGGGGGTAGTACTTCCCATTGTGCTTGCCCCCCACCCCTTCCTCCTCCCTGTCATGCCCTTCATGCTCGTCAGAGGGTAATGCCGTGCCGAGAAGAAGTGGGGAAGGGAGGGGAGGGAGAGAGGCGAAGACAGGTCTCTGTTATCTCATGCCTGCTTGCTAGGTGACTTTTGAGTCGACTCAAAAGTCACCTCGTTATCTCATGCCTGCTTGCTTGCTTCTCCTTCACTGCATCACATCACATCACATGACATGGCATGGCATGACACGCGGCATGGGCACGGGTGGTGGTGCATGCGCGATGCAGGGTGATCTGCACGACTACATCCAGTCCAAGTCGCCCCTGGGAGCACGCCAGGTTCTGCTCTTCGCCCTCGACATCGCCCGGTGAGCGCCGCGTGCTGTGCTGCACCGAGAGGTGTGCTGCACCGAGCGGTGTGCTGCACCGAGCGGTGTGCTGCACCGAGCGCCCAGGGGTGTGTGTGTGTGTGTGGGTTTATGTGTGCTCTTGGCCCTCGACATCGCCCGGTGAGCGCCGAGAGATACCCGTTGACCACACTGTTGACCACACACGATCTTGCCAACGCCGATCGCTGCTAGTCCCAAGGCACACGCTGCACGGGGGTGCAGAGGGGTGTAGAGGGGTGCAGAGGGGTGTAGAGGGGTGAAGAGGGGTGTAGAGGGGTGCAGAGGGGTGTAGAGGGGTGCAGAGGGATGCCCTACTGGTGCAAAGAAGCCTCCTTTGGGTAGCAATGTAACAGTGACCCTGCTATTGTCAAGCGAGTCATCCCTGTTCACTTGTGGCCCTCCTGTTGCTATCCTCGTGCCGTCACACCACGTGTATCACCCTCCCCACTCCTTCCACCCGCCCTAACTGACTGTTCACTGTAGTAAGCCTATACCATCACGCCATGCTCTCTAGATCGTGCTGCACCATCACTCAATCCGCTCTCTGCACTCCTCCTGTCCCCTTATCCCACCTTGCCCCACAATCTTACTCCACCCAATCCACCCCTCCTTTCCCCCCACCCACCCTTCCACCGCCCTGCGCGTGTGTGTGTGTGTGTTGATTATTCCCCCCCCCGCAATGGGAGTGACTGGCAGTGCGATGGAGTATCTGCACGGGCTGTCTCCACCCATCGTGCACCGAGACCTCAAACCACAGTACACTGCTTCCCTGCCTTTCCCTCCCATGCCCTGCCACGCCGTTCCATTCGCTGCCATGCCATGCCGTGCCATGCCATGCCATGCCATGCCATACCGTGCCGTCTCATCATCCCAAGGCCGCACTCCCATGCCCATGCCTGTGCCCATGCCAATAGCCCCCTGTCCATCCCATCAGCCGATTCACTCACATGTCTGGTACTGGCTCCCCACACAAAGAAACACCCCTCCTTTTTCTCTTGTTTCATCTCTTACCCCACCTCCTTTCCTCCCCCTCTCTCATGTCTTCCCTCCCACTGTTCCCTCCCACTGTTCCCACCCCTGGCTCTGTTCCTCCCTCCTTGCGTGTGTGTGTGCGTGTGTGTGTGTGTGGCAGCAATCTCCTGCTGGACATTCGAGGGCACTTGAAGCTCATCGACTTTGGCCTCGCCACCACTCTCCCCCCCACACTGCCACTCCCACTCCAACACCCGCACCCGCAACCGCACCCGCACCCGCACTCGCACCCACACTCGCACCAACACCGTTCCACCTCTCAGCAGCAGCAGCAGCAGCAGCATTCTCCGCAGGTTGAAGAGAGCATGGCTCGAATACAAGGGGGTGCAGGATGTGTGGCAGCAGCGGGGGGAGCAGCAGCAGGAGCAGCAGCGGGAGTGGCAGGGGGGGGAGCAGCAGCGGGAGCAGCAGGGGGGTCATTGTCGCCGTGCTCGTCTGTGCCCCCCACTGCGAGCTCCTCTCTCTCCTCTGACTGCTCTGATGCCTCTGCTGCTGCCTCTGCTGCTGCTGCCCCTAGCGACAAACCCTTAGAGAGTCAAGCTGGCACTTGTATGTGTGCGCCATGCTCCATGCACCATGCGCCGTGCACCATGCACCATATGCCATGCACCATGTGCCATGCACTACTTGTTGACTTACTTGTAATCTATGCATCTGTGCTTACCTGTGCTGTTACTCTATTCCCACCCTCCCCCCCCCCCCCCTTGCGCATCGCATCCGTCCATGGCACCGCTGTAAGGCCTCACACCTCTGTTCCCTCTCTGCGCACCCACCTCGCATTCCCAACCCCCCCGCCTGCCCCATCCGCCCCCTCAGACCGCCACATGCCGCTACAGGTGTTCCTTTCTACACCTCCCCTCCCCCCATACTCCCCACACCCCTACCCCCTCCCCCCCTCCCCCCCTCCCCCCATCAGACCGCTACATGGCGCCAGAGGCGTTCCATTCTACACACCCCTCTTCCATCCCCACTCCTTGCACTGCATCTACCTCTCTCCCCCCTCCCCCACCCCCTCAGACCGCTACATGGCCCCAGAGGTGTTTCGGCACGAGCCCTAGCGTTGCCTTACCATCTCCCCCACCTCCCCCAACGTCGATCTCCCCTTCCCCCCCACGTTGCTCCCCCCGTCCCCCACCCCCTCAGACCGCTACATGGCTCCAGAGGTGTTTCGGCATGAGCCCTATGGCACAGCCGTTGACGTCTTCTCCTTTGCCGTCCTGCTGCACGAGGTGGGAGGGGGGGAGGGGGTGGGGTTGAGGGAGTGGAGAAGGGATAGAGGGCGCTTTTCTTTTGCCATTCTTTTGAGTCGACTCAATAGTCACCTTACCCTGCTGCACGAGGTGGGGGGAGGGGAGGGGGTGGGGTTGAGGGCGTAGAGAAGGGATAGAGGGCGCTTTTCCTTTCCCACCCTGTTGCACGAGGTGGGCGGAGGAGAGGTGGCGGAAAGGAAAGGGGTGAGGGTGGGGAAAGGAGAGGGGGAGGAGGGCAGGAGGGGGAGGAACGTGAAGAAATAGGGGGGCCATGTTATTCCAATTAAGTTGAAGAAATGGGGGGTTCTGGGGTTTCGGCTGGACACACACACACACACACACACACACACACACACACACACACACACACACACACACACAAACATGGGTAGCTGCAGTGGGAGAATGGAGATTGCAGTGCCTTTGCTGTCTCTTCTCTGCACTCTGTGCTCCTCCGTTTCCTTTCTGTATCACCCTATCCTCACTCTTGCATGTGTGGAAAGCTCCTGTCCGCATACACATCGGCACACATTCTCTCTCCACCACAGCTCAATCACCGCTTCATCTTCCTTACTGTTCATTCCGCGTTCCTCCCTCACTCTCTCTCTCCCATTCCTCCCCTCTGTTCTTGTTCTCCTCTCTCTCTCCCCCCTTCCTCCCCTCTCTTCTTATTCTCCCCTCCCTGTCTCCCCTTCCTCCCCTTTCTCTTCCCCCTCTCCCTCCTCGCTCCCCCCTCTTTTCCCCGCTTTCCCGTCTCTCGCCTATTCCCCTCAATCATTCTCTCTCCCCCCACCATCAGATGTTGGAGGGGGGGAAGCAAATGAACCTGCTGACGATTTCTGAAACGTCTTAAAAGCCGTCTCCCCACCTCTAAACCCCTCAATCTTTCTCCCCCCCCCTTCCCCCCCGCCATCAGATGTTTGAGGGCGGGCAGCAGATGAAGCTGCTGACGCCACAGGAGGTGGCGAGAAAGTATTCTCTCAACGTGCGCCCCATCTTTAAAGCCCGCACGTACCCGCCGCATGTCAAGGAGTGAGTCTCGCCTCTCACACTTAGGTTCGTCTCCTGCAGTGAGCTCTGTCGTCTCAACCCAGCTGCATTGCCCGTCCGTGTGCACTTCACAGTATCTGCACCCTGCACGTTCACTGCTTCCCCACTGCCCGCCTTCCCGTTTCCCTCCTTCCCTCCACACCTCCAACCCCCCCTCCCCTTTCCCTGATCCGCCATGCATACCCCCCTTTCCATCTCTCCGCCCCTGCCTCCCCCACCACCCACCTGCCCCATTTCCCCTGTGACCCCCTCCCCCACTCTCCCCCTGCCCCCTTCCCTGACCAGCTTCACAGCGACCTGCTGGCAACAGGACCTACCCCACCCCACCCCGCCCACCCGTCTCCAGAATCCCCTCCTTCTGAGTCGCCTCTAAAGTCGAAAACCCCCACCCCTTGTCCCACCCTCCCGTTACCCCCTCCCATCATCACCAGCTTCATAGCGACATGCTGGCTGGCACCAGGACCCATTGCAGCGCCCACCCTTCTCCAGGATCCGCTCTTCTTGTGGCGCCTCAAAAGTAAACAAAAACCCGTGTCCCACTCTCCCTTTGTCCCCCCTCCCATCACCAGCTTCATTGCAACATGCTGGCACCAGGACCCATTGCAGCGCCCACCCTTCTCCAGGATCCGCCACTTCCTGGAGCAAACTCTCGAAGCCCTCGGCCCCTCGCCGCTCTCCTCCCTCCACCATACTGCCACCCACACCGCCTCAGGAAACGCTGGTACTGGCAGTGGCGGTGGTGGTGGTTTTGGTGGTGGCTGTGGGGGTGGGAATGGTGGGAATAGGCATAGCCATTTCACTCGGGCTCTGAATGCGATGCGGGATGCCGGAGCGAGTGCTGGTAATGGGTTGACTGGGGTGGATGATGGAACCCAAAGGGTGGGTGATGGGATGTGCAGGCAGGTGCCTTGTAACATCATGTGATGGATAGCTTGCCAACAGCCTTGTTGTGCCTAAGTTATTTACCATCGAATATATCATATTGTAAGAAAAAGCAAGATGTAATGAATAACTCCCAAGTCCTGAACTCCAACCAACCTGAGAGGTGCAGAGCCGGCTGGCCAATCGGGGGTGTCATCTCATGTCATCTCAATCTGCCGTAGCATTGTGTTTGATTTGAACTTGAGTACTACCGTTGCTGCGTCTGAGGTTTCGGGTATTGAATCTACTATTGTCTCGGTGACAATTGCACATACTACGTAGCCTTACTTCATACACGGTGTGTTACTGGTACACCCACTGTGATGTGAACCTGCTCCACTCATTAAATACAACGAGGCTGGAGGAGATACACCACAAAGCACAACCAAAAGGCTAACTATCCACAACTTCCTGCCAACGAACAAAGCCGTATAGATCCAGAATAAAATATCCCAAAAATATTGGTACGGTACTTGATATAAACCTACACCCCTTCAAGCACGCTTAATAAAGAATGATGCAAGTGGGAACAAAAATGGAGCTTGCCGACAACTGAGCCTCTGAAACTGCCCAGTCGAGGACTTGCTTGCAGTTTGAATGCACAAAGTAGAAGAGGGTCAGGCAGGAGTGCAGAGGAGTGGCGAGGAGTGGAGAGGAGCACCAGAGTCTGCCAGCAAGCCATGGAAATGCCCCCCTCCCCCTCTTCAAACGGTCGTTGCGGTTGGGAAAATTTGCTCAACCGAACCCAGGCACCCAAGGGACAAAAATTGGGGCTGGGTGGGAATGAGAAGCCGCAGAAAATGACCGGGCGAATTGGGGAACAGAGGGAGGTGGTGCGCGGCGCAGCTGACTCTCCACAGTCCGTCCGTGAGAGGAGCACCAGAGTCTGCCAGCAAGCCATGGAAATGCCCCCCTCCCCCTCTTCAAACGGTCGTTGCGGTTGGGAAAATTTGCTCAACCGAACCCAGGCACCCAAGGGACAAAAATTGGGGCTGGGTGGGAATGAGAAGCCGCAGAAAATGACCGGGCGAATTGGGGAACAGAGGGAGGTGGTGCGCGGCGCAGCTGACTCTCCACAGTCCGTCCGTGAGAGGAAGGCAATCAGGAAAGAGGAGTGGCGTGAGCAGAGGTACGAGCGCCGGCGACCGGGAGAGGTGGTAGGGAAATAGCAGTCACGGACGTGGAAGCTACGATAATGTTCAGGGGAAAAGGGGAGGGGAGGAGGGGAGGGGGGGAGTGGGGGAAACTAGCTAGAGCACGGAAGGGGGAAGGGAGGAAGAGGGGGAAGGGGGAAAACGAAGGGCTTAAGAACAAAATTGAGTGGCTGGTCACCAGATGCTTGCCCACAGACACAGAGAGACACATAGACATGCCAATGGTGTGTGTGGTGTGTGGGGTTGCATGCGTGGTGGCAGCACACTGGGTGATGATGCAGGCTCGCACAGCCAGGGCCCGGGAGTGCGGGGCGGCCAGCAGTGCAGCGCAGCGTGGCGAGCGCTGATAACGGCACGACAGCGTTGAGGCGCCAATGTTACACGCGTGGTGGAGAGTCTACGGGCGCGGCTTCATGGCAATAGGCCGGAACACCATCTGCCAAGGGGGACACAAACATAGAAGCACCACCAGACAAACAAGGAGGGGGAGACAAACGGTGAGAGGACGAGCAAGGGGGTAGGGGAGGGGAGGGGAGGAAGGAACGGGAGAGGGCAAGGAGCCCACTACCGTCAAAGCATGTCCTGTCTTCAGAGCAATCCCAATTCGTCACTCTCACACACTCCCCATGCCACTTTCATTCATCGCATGGCGACTCTCACCTGCGAGGTGGTGCGGGCGGCTGGTTCTGCTGTGCTGCTGGCAGAGCGGCGACGGCGCTTGCCAGGAGGAAGAGAAGAAGCAGGCGTGGATTGGGGCGCAGGGCACGCTGCAGAGAGCCCCATGCGGCCAGGGAATGATGCGTGCAGCTTCCCCTGCTGCGGGCGCAGTGCATGCAGCGCTGGTGCTATGGGAACCATGGCTCCGCCACTACCACCGCCCCCTCCCTCCCCGTGCTGCTGCTTCTTCTGCTGCTGGTGCTGCTGGTGCTGGTGGTTCTGCTGCTGGTGCTGGTGGTTCTGCTGCTGCTGCTGCTGCTGCTGGATAGCCATGCTACAAGCTTTCGCATCGTCCTGCTGCTGCTGTTGCTGCTGCTGCTGGGCTGCGGAGGCAGCAGCAGCGGAGGCCATGGCATGCGCCTGCTGCGCCTGCGCGGCTGCTTGCGCCACCGCCGCCATCACCCCCCACTGCTGCGCGGCAGCTGCTGCATCTGCAGCCGCCACTGCAGCAGCCGCCATGGGGCTGGCGTGCATGTGGGATGGAGGGGGCAGCATGGCCACGGGCACAGGCACGGGGACAGCAGGCGGGAGCGGTAGCTTCATCTGGAGATTCTGTAGCGGCTTCATGGGGGCGTAGGAGCGAGGGCGGGCGTGGGAGGGGGGCGCTGGCTGGATCTCACGGGGTTTCCTGAGAGAAGGCAAGGGGGACGAGAGAAAGAAGGCAATATTTGAGGCGCCTGGATAACTTGGTCGAATGTGAGTATGGTGGGGGGGAGGGGGAAGAGAGACAGGAGAGTGGGACGAAGAGCACAACAGCGTGTCGGTGAGTGGGATGGCCGCATGTCGTTGGATGGAGTAGAGAAGTTTCACTACATCAAGAGTGCACACGAGCTAAGGAGGGGCAGGAGAGAAGAACGACACAATGAGCAGGATAGTGACCAGATAGATACCTGTGTTTCTGGGTAGGGCAGTGCATATCACCAACACCACCAGCAGCCTGCGCCTTCTGCCCGCCACACGGCACTGGCGCATACATGCGCGCGGACGGCGCAACACTCCCCCCGTCAGCCCTGTCATTGTTGTTCGGCGCAATGGGGCGGGGCTTGGCAAGCGCGGCGGAAAGAGCAGCACTGGACATTCCCGCCAGCGCGGGCGGCGCAGGCGCAAGGCGTCGCGGGGCGGCAAGGAGCGGAGACAGGATGGGCGGAGAGTGGTGCCTCAGCGGGGGGAGAGCGCTGCAGGCACCAGAGACTGCGGCGGCAGCAGCCGCAGCGGCTGCGGCGGCGGCGGCGGCAGTGGCCGGAGTGGCGGAAGGTGCGGGCGGGACGGTGAACGGAAGGACACGCGGAGCTGGGTGGAGCGGAGACGGCGCCAAGTGAGGCGCGGGGACGACAACAGGCGGAGAAAAAGCTCCGCTCGTGGCGGGGGAGAACGCAGAGCGCTGGAAGGACCGGCCAATGCTAACCATGGGTGGGGACACAGACGGCGAGGTTGGCTTCTGCAAGTGCTGCTGGGTTGCGCCAAGACCTAACTTGGACGCCGCCTGTGGGGTAAGCGGCTTACGCTCTTCCTTCTTCACACCGCTACTCGCTGTTACCCTCTGCAGCTGTTCCTGCTGCTCCTGCTGCTCCTGCTGATGCTGCTGTGCCTGAACCGGAGTGGAATCGCGTGACCGCTGCTCTGCCTGTTTCGCGAGCGGTCGGCGAACAACCACCGCCTCATCCACCTCTCCAGCAGCAGCAGCAGCAGCAGCCACACTCTGACTGCCACTACCGCCTCCCGCCGATTCCTGTTTCCATGACGCTGACCGGTCCGCCGAGGAGGTGGGGGCAGCAGGAGCACCGTGCGCCGCTTCCGCGTTTCCACCACGAAGAGAACGAAGAGTATTCAGCAGAGGCTGCTTCGAAGTAGCTGCTTCCGCCCCGCGAGTGTCGCCAGTCTCCCCACCGACCGTCCCATCCACCTTCACGCGTCGGCTTTCTCTTGAGCCCTGCTCCAGGTGGCTAGGCGAGCCCGTGACAGCCGCCGCCATCTGCCGACTCTGTCGCTTCCCATCTGCTTCTCCCCCCTGACGCTCGTCCATGTCCTTTTTCCCCCTCTCATCCCTCTCCTCACTCTCCTCCCTCTCTTCCTCCTCCTCCGTCTCTATTTCCACCTCATCCTCCTCCTCCTCGTCCTCCCCTTCCTCATCTACATCCTCCTCTACGTCATCAACCCGCCTGTATTCCGCCGAAGACTCCTGTTTCTGCGGGGACTCCTGTTGCTGCTGCTGCTGCTGCCGCCACTGCTCGAGCACGTGCGCGTGCGCAGGGTCCGACTTGCTCTGCTCGTCCGACTGTACTTCGCCCTCCTCGTCGCTGCGGCAATCGCGGGACCGCTTCAACCCGCAGCGGCTCCAAGCCACCTCCTCCGCGCCGCTGCTCACGCCGCGGGAGGAGGTATTGCCGGTCTCGCAATTAGCGGCGCCGGAGACTTTACGCGCCGACGCGTCTGAACCTGCCTGGACTTGCGGAATCGCTACGCGCGCAGAGAGCTTGCTAGGCGTCTGTTCCTGTTCCGTATGAACCGTATTGGCCGTGTTGACGGTATTGGCTACGTCTGACGGGGTGCGCGAACGAGGCTTCGAAACGACAGCGGGAGCGGCGGCGGCACACACGGAGGGCATTGAGCACCGCCTGGTTTCGCGGTCCCCCTCTTTCGATTCGGTAGAGGCTGACGCGTTAAGGTCCAGGCAGGGAATGGTGCCGACTGGGTGGTGACAGGTGTCAGTCGCATTGTGGGGGTCCGCGCGACGTCGCAGCGTGACGATGTAATCGTAAACCTCGTTAAGGAAATCCGCTGTATTAGCACCTTCGACGTGTGGCACTAGCATGCGCAGAGACTTCATCCTGGTTGGGAGGAAAAAACGGGAGACGGAAAGTGAGAATAAAGAATACGGGAGACGGAACATAAAGAATACGGGAGTTTTCGAATATAGTTCGCAAACGACAACCAACGAAGGAAACGGCACGAACACTAGGGAAGACGACGAGCACTGGAAGAGAGACTCGCCACATGTTACTTGCTACTTTAGGGACTGTAGAAGACAGCACTCGGGGAACGAGCAACCGTAAGCGCATACTTGTCCTTAATCCGCGCCCTTCGCTTTTGCTCCGACGCCATATGGCGCGTGGCGCAGACACCACTCCGCGACACCAACGCGGCCGCTCCGCGCAAGCTGCAAGCACCTGCAGCCGCAGCCGTAGCCGCGACGGGACTGGCTCCATGGTTCGACGCCGCACTACCAGCGCACGAGCCACCGGAGGGGACTGCTGGCCCTGGCTGGCCTACTGCTGCTGCAGCGGCTGCGGCTGCGGCTGCTGCAGCGGCTGCAGCAACGGGATTTGGTGTGTACGTAATGGCCGGAAAGAATCTCGGAACCCCCAGGTTCCCGCACCCGTAGCCGAAGCCACCAGCGGCAGCAACGCTACAGGGAGCCGCAATGGCGGCTGAGGCATTGCTGGACGGGAGTGTGCCCGGCGCTACGTTCTGCTGCGACGACAGCGGCCGTGGTGCTACGGCTATTACTCTCGGAGGGGCCGTTCGATGCATGGCAGGCAGCCTGGTAGCTCCCTGCTGCGACTACGGAAGGCTCGCGGACAAGCCAGAGTGAATTTGATGAATCGCGAGCGTAGGGAGATCCGAATCAGAGATGCTATTCGCAAGGAAAGGGGTGGAGCTGCTCGAATGGTGGACTGGTCAGCTACGCCAACATGGACGCAGAACGCGACGACAAGGACGCAAATAATCAAATTTCCGAGTTAAAATAGGTGTAGGTTTCAAAATGGAGGAGCGAGCGGCGTGAAAAGGCTGGGACGGACACCAGTGCTGGTCCGTGATACTGGTGAGTGAGCGTCTCTCCACGCCTGACCTACTAGCAGGGACGACCTATTACCCTTGCTTTACGGCTTCTAGCAGAACGATTGAGGAGGACTACCGCGGCCGTGGCTCGTCGCAGCCATGGCCATTTCTTGCTAACGTGGGTGTCCACCCTGTTATGCAAATCAATTCTCAGAATCTCACAAATCGTAGGGGAGAGGCACCCGTGTCTCCATCTTAGGGGGAAACGTCACCTGCCTAAAAGAACCACTTAGAAAGTATGGCGTACCATAACCAGCACGAATACGTTAACTGCTGTAAAATTTCGGTGTATCATCCACGTCTACTTCAAGTTCTGTTACTTCCGTATTTAGGGCAAGAGATTGAAGACGACAGGGCTTTCCAGTCAAACATTGTGACTTCGAGACGTGAAAAGGACTTCACATGCTTTGGACACACACCCCAGTGTGTGACACTATTGTAGAACTGAAGAAAACTGAAGAATCAGATTTGAGACACCCGTGCCCTACTGTCTGGAGCTGCCCAATGATACCCCTCGCCCAATCAATAATCCCCAATCACCTCACTGGAGGTTACGCCTTGTCGCCGAGGTCCAGACCCCAAAAGTTAGGGCATGCTAGCGGGGGGAGCAGAAGAGCCGTTAAGTCGGAAACTTGGGGGGAGTTGGGGAAGAGGGGGAAGAAGAGTGGTTGCGGTGGTGTGGGTGGGTGGGAATTCCCGCTATAAACTATTTCGCTCACAGCCGAGTTGTTGAGGCAGGACGGGGGATTGGTTTGGGAAAGGGGGGGTGTGGGGGCAATGGGTAAGCACAACTCCGCCGAACCAACCTCCTTCCTCTTTCGCCTACACGGAGTCACCGAGTCTTGGTATGCGAGGGACGAACGTCTCGGATTGAGCGGCGTCACGCCGCAAAAGCTGAATCCCGCCGAAGCAGAGCATTCCATGTGACACCACCAGCCTAGAAGCTGGTTCAACGAACCAGAATTTTGTTCGCGCCTCGTCTGGGATACCTTTCTGTCTTTCTTTCACTTGCGTGGCAAGCAGGTATTGGTTGAAGCCTGCTTCGCGCTTGTATTCCAGCTTGGACAGCTCCCAAGAAATTGCCCTGGTGACATGTCCTGATCCACCCAAGGCCACCGCGTTCCTATCTTTATGGCAAGGTTGAAGCTCGATATATCCGGCACTCCCAGTGCAACGAACTTCCGGGCACCACGGGGTCACTCAGGGATGACGTGTCCGTGGTGCACTCACCAATCCGGTAATTTCTTTCGGGTAAGTAGCTTTTGCGGGGGTACTACTAGCGTCCTGCGCTTTCTAGGGAAGTACAGTGCTAGTTGCGGGCACTTTCCGCCCCTCCGCCACTCCGACAGGAAAGTCATGGCAACAACACAGAACTCGGTCCCACATTCACCCACGTGTCACAAATTCGGAAAGTTAGAAAACGCACGCAGAAAAAAATAAAACCCATAGGGAACCTGGACTCATTTTCGGGAGGGATCAACCCTAAACACGGGAACCCACCATTTTTTTAGGGTTGATGCCTCCCCGAGACGCATCCCTTCCCGATTGGGTTTTAGTTTTTTTTTTGTCAGGTAAAGGGATATTTTTTCCAGTGGCTTGCGAGATTCTGACACGTGGGTGAATGTGGGACCGAGTTCTGTGCTGTTGCCATAATGCTCCTGTCGGAGTGGCGGAGTGGCGGAAAGTGCCCGCATATAGCACTGTAGTCCCCTTGAAAGTGCCTGGTCGCTAGTAGTACCCCTGCCAAAGCTACTTACCCATTTCTTTCGAAGCAATGTGAGCAAATTCCACGAATATCATTGGGTGGAGCGCGGGTCTTCCTCTCCATTACTCAGCCCATCGCATCTTGTCGAGCCTGAAAAGGTACGAATCCTTGGCAACTTCGAATCAGCTTGTCTATTCAATTGGCGCGCCATGTTGCAACCCACGTGGCAGTAAGAAGATAGGCAACGAGTCCCTCAAATCCAAGCACAGCCAATCAAGTGTGAAGCCGTGGCAAAGGATGGTGGAGGTGACAGCGCAGTGTTTCAGGTTTCAGGGAGGTGAGGGCCATACATATCCCACATAGAATATGTTCAGGGTACTGCTCCCAAATATGGGCCACATGTCCTGTCTGACCGAACCTCAGTTTTCCCCCTCCAGCCCCAAAACTCTATGGCCCTGTTCGGGAGCCCCGAAACAGAGGATGAGCAAGCTGCTCTGTACCGAACCTGAAGAAGAATACCGACAACACACCAGTTGCATGATTGAACAGTGGCGACAGCTGTACAACATATTTTCCAAAACGTAGCAACCCTTGCAACACGAAAATGAACCACAATACAAGTCAAAGGGAATGTGTTAGGGATTTCTCGAATGGTCCGCCCTGGGTAATCAATAAGTATAAACCAGATGCCCAACAAATGTTTTTGACCTCTGGTCCTCACTTTCTCCTCGCCAGGGCATGGCGAGGAGAAAGTGAGGACATTTTTGCCAGTGATTACTGTGCAGTCAATGGACTGTAGGGGTAGCGGCTCGGGATCTCGAGCCGCTGCAGAGGAGAAGATGAGGTTGAAGGTTCCAAACCGGGAGGTTTGGAACCGAAAGTGGTCGCAACGAGGTCGCAGGCGATTTTTGGGCTTCCGAGCCTAGTAAAATTGATCCTCTGGATCTGGTTCTGCTCTTCCTCTCTTGCTCCCGAACAAGGCCTATGGCAATGTGCATGTCTGGTGGGCTGGGCCTTGCGTGGTTGGCACAAAAGCAGTGAAGCTTAGTAAATCCTCCCTATGGAGTGGCGCCAAACAGACAATTTGTACATATCGGTACATGCATTCAATTTTCATATGTAACACTGGAAGAAATTGAGAGTCGACATACAGTAGGTGGTGTCAGAACATTATAGCTTATGCTGTTGTGTAGGCTATAGTGGGGTATCCCATAGGGGGTACAACCAATTAGGGTTTCATATTTGTACTCACTTCATTTCATAGTTCATCATTCTTGTTCAAATCTTCTCATGGTATCGAGCAGGTTCCCCCTTGGGAACTGTGCTTAGGGCCCACCACATCGATTTTTTTTCTTGCCCGAAGCGCGCTCAGCCCGAGTCGCGCTCCGGGCCCTCACTTCGTCGAGCCGCCCTAGCGGCCCTGCACTGCGGCCCCGCCGCCCGTCTTGGCGGCCCGCCGCCTCTCTCCTAGCGGCCCCGCCGCCCTACCTAGCGGCCCCGCCGCCCTACCTCGCGGCCTCGCCGCCCCATTGCGCGGCCCCGCCGCCCTACCTAGCGGCCCCGCCGCCCCATCGCGGCCCCGCCGCCCCATCGCGCGGCCCCGCCGCCCTATCTAGCGGCCCCGCCGCCCTACCTAGCGGCCCCGCCGCCCCATCGCGCGGCCCCGCCGCCCCATCGCGCGGCCCCGTCGCCCCATCGAGCGGCCCCGCCGCCCTTCCTCGCGGCCCCGCCACCCCATCGCGCGGCCCCGCCGCCCCATCGCGCGGCCCCGCCGCCCCATCGCGCGGCCCCGCCGCCCTACCTAGCGGCCCCGCCGCCCTTCCTAGCGGCCCCGCCACCTTACCTGCGGCCCCGCCCTTACCTGCGGCCCCGCCGCCCTCTGCTGCGGCCCCGCCACCTTACCTGCGGCCCCGCCACCTTACCTGCGGCCCCGCCACCCTACCTGCGGCCCCGTGCCCTGCAGCAGCACAGCCGAGCCGCCCAGCAGCCGAGCCGCCGAGCCGCCCAGCAGCCGAGCCGCCCAGCAGCCGAGCCGCCGAGCCGCCCAGCAGCCGAGCCGCCCAGCGGCCGCGCCGCCCAGCAGCCGAGCCGCCCAGCAGCCGAGCCGCCCAGCAGCGGAGCTGCCGAGCCGCCGGGCCGCCCAGCAGCTGAGCCGCCGGGCCGCCCAGCAGCTGAGCCGCCGAGCCGCCGCGCCGCCCTCCTTCAGGGCCGCCCGACCTGCCCAGTCCGGTGAGCACAGCGCCTTTTCACTGCACTGTCCTCACCCCACTGTTTGCGCTGCTAGTCGTCTAGGGTCATGGCTACCCCTAGTGTTCTCGCCTTTGACGCTGAGGGTAGGGCCATTGACTTTGAGGTCTGGGTAGATGACCTGCAGCTGTTCTTACAGTGTGATAGGGCAGACGGCCTCTCTCTCTTTGACCTCACCTCTGGCACCTCCACTGCCCCTGCTGCTGATGCTGACGCCACTGTTCGCTCCCAGTGGGCCACGCGCGACGCTGCTGCACGTCTTGCTGTGCGTCGCCACCTCCCTACCTCCGAGCGTGCGCACTTTAGTCAG